GAGTCTGACTGGCTCTAGGAACGGTCAGGTGTGGTGAGAAGGGGCTGCTCTGGCCAGGCCTGGCTGAGTCTCTTGAGACCTCACTGCCCCACAGGTGTCCGTGTTCCTGAGGAGACTGACTTGAGGAAACATTTTTAGCTGAAATGTAAACAAGCCTTCTCTTTGCTCCCTCAGTGCGGTGCACCATGGTGGGAGGTCTGGCCTCCCGTGCTGTGCTCTGTGCAGAAGGCAACGCACTATGGTTGCTGGGCATTTGGAGGACCTATGCCTGAAGAGGACCTGAAGCACCTGCTGCAGAGGGTCAAGGACTGCAGCCTCCAATATGGATTGAGGCTCAATGTCAAGAAGACAAAGATTCTCACCACTGGACCAATTGGCAGCATCAGGATGGATGGTGAAGAGATTGAGATTGTACACAGCTTTAGTTTGCTTGGCTCCACAGTCAACACTCTTGGCATCAGTAGCCAGGAAATTAAAAGGCTCATTGCCATGCAAAGTCTGCTGTTAGGGACCTCTCCAAAGTACTGAAGAGCAATGGTGTCTCTCTGGAGACTAAGGTGCGTTTGATACAGGCCATGGTCTTCACAATCACTTGTTATGCATCAGAGAGTTGGACAATGACCAAAGAGGATAGAAGGAGAATTCATGCCTTTGAGCTGTGGTGCTGGAGAAGAGTATTGATAGTACAATGGACTGCTAGGAAAACAAACAGATTCATACCGGAAAGGGTTAAACCGGGTGGCTCCTTGGAGGCAAGGATTCTGAGGCTTTGTCTGACATACTTTGTCATGTTGTGAGGAGAGACCGGTCCTTTGAGAAGGACATCAGGCTTGGGAGGGTGGAGGGACAGCGCAGGAGGGGAAGACCCTCTATGAGGTGGATTAATTCAGTGACTGGGATAATCGGGATGAGAGTGTCAGAGACAGTGCGATTGGCACAGGACAGAGCAGAGTTTAGGGCTGTTGTACATAAGGTCGCTATGAGTCGCAAGCGCCTCGACGGCACCGAACAACAACAACAACAACAACAACATGCCACCTACAGGCATGTTTGGTGGCCCTGAGGATTTGCTCAGGCTGGATGCTAACAGGAGCAGGGCTGGTCTCTGCCTCAGTGGACAAAGCTGTGGAGGGGCAACTGTCACAGGGGTGGGCCAGGGTGTGGCTGGTGGTGATATGCTATCTAGAGGTGATCATGGTCTGGTCTGGGTCCAGCACCATCATGGGGTATTCTTGCTGGATGTCTGTGCTCCATGAAACTGTTTATACTCTTTTTTTTTATTCATGCCTATTAAAAGTTTTTATTTTCTTCTTTATACTCAGAAACAAAGAAATGGCCCAACTGCCAAAGTGTCTCATCTTCAGTCAGATGAGAGGCAAGAGAGAGACAGGAGGTGTGGGTGGTAGGTGGAATGTGGGAACACTTTTTTTGGCCCTTTTTCCAACTATCACTCCTTTATTCAGCATCCCCTGACTCCAAAACATTGAGGTGTAAACACAGCTTGTTATCCTTTGGGAGGTTAGGGAGGCACAGTTACAGCCAAGAAATTAATGCCCACTTTCAACAGGAGATGGGTCCAGTGCGTATCTTGGGGCCAGGGAGAGGGAGGGCAGGAGTGGGTTGAGGAAGCTGCTGGATGGAGGGGAAAAGAGGATAACCAACCCCCCTCAAAAGGAGTGGGGCTCTTGGTCCTACCCCTACCTCTCCCAGCACCAGCCACTCCCTACATCCAGCCCCCTCCTAGCAGAATTGGTCATCATAATCCTCGTCCTTCATCCCTTTCAGCCGAAGCCGGGCAAAGTCCTCAAATACAATGTCATCGTCTGTGGCATAGTTGGTATCAAATTCAATGAGGTTGGTATCCACAGGGACATCTGTTTCGGGAGCAGCTGACTGGGGTCTAGGGAGGGTGATAATGTGGTCATGGGGCTTGGGGTGCATAAGGACAAAAGGCAGCTCCACCAAGAAATCCCCGCCTCGAGAGACCACCAGCTTCACCTTGACTCTATAGGACACCAGGATTCCCAGCACCTCCTTATTGGCACCCTCTTTTACTATGGTGCTGGAAGCCAAATTGGTGTCCTCATGTTTAAGCTTTCCGTCCAGGGCAAGGCCACGCTTCTCCCGGTTGTCACTGAGCAGTGGGGTGATGGTGTACACCTTACAGAATGTGGAACTGGGGGATACCTGGTCATCTTGTTCAATCTGAGCCACCGGACACTTGTACTGGGCAGTGCTGAAGAGGCAGATGTCAGCATACTGTCTCACAGAGACTTTGATCTTCTTGACGGTCTTGGTGGAGTTGTCGGTGACGTGGACATTGACGTTGAGGGGCTCCCCATGGTAGTACAGCTCCTTGTCCAGGGATGCTTCAAGGTGCAAAGACCGGTCAGACATGAGGAAGTGGCGTGTGGTTTCAGCTAAAGGTTGGGGGCCAGGTTTCTCGGGGGCAAATTGTACCTTTCGGATCACGAACTGCACAGAGTTCCTTTTGTGGCTTTTCTCTTCTAGTGATTTGGCACAGAAGGCTCGAATCTCAAAGTCTACACCACAGGCCTTCCCGGTGTCCTCTGGGCCTGGCTGCAGCGTGACAGAGCAGGGCAGATTCTGGGGTATTGTTGAAAAAAAAGGGATGGGCATGCTGGCCCAGCTTCCTCAGCAGCCGGTCCTGCAGGCGGGTGGGAGGCCTGGGTGGGTTGGGCACTGGGGGGAAGGCCTGGTAGGTGGTGATGAACAGATCTTTGCGGAAGGACAAGCCCAGCACATCCAAATCTTCACGGCCATAGCGGAAGGCACAGGTCAGGGTCACAAATACTTGCAGTTAGGGCTTGACTTCTTGAAGACCCTGGTCCCGGGTTTCTCTCCCATGGTGCGAGCGCCCGCCGCCCGCCGCCCGCCAGGTTCGCAGATCGCTCTGTTTATACTCTTAACACAACTCCTAGGTCTATCTGTGGGTGCAGGCCAGCCCCCAGCATGACAAGGCTTATCTGTGGGTGCGGGCCAGACCTGGTGCCACCAGACTTATCTGTGAGTGCAGGGCAGACCCAGGGCCACCAGGCTGGGTGAGCACAGAGCAGACTCTGAAAGTCACCCTGAAAACCCATGCTGGTTGACCCCACAGATGGTCTTTCATTCTGCATCCTGAACCAACAGGACAGCCTCCAAGAAGTAAATGCCATCAGGGCCTGAGGATGTGGGCTTCGCGATCACAGGACCCTGCTCCCTACTCTCAGAATGGTCAGGACTGTCCGCAAGTCCAGCTTAGCTTCGCCAAGACAGTTTTCTGCTACACTGTCCATGAGCGCGCCAACTGCCCCTCAGTGCGAATGGCCAAGTGCTCCTCAACACCTTAGCGTCTTGGGCCAGATAAGAAGGCAGGCAGCGCAGGGGACTGGGCAGGAAGGGGAGGGGCTGCGTGGGATGGAAGCAGTCAGCTGGCACTGCCAACAAAGGACCGTCTTGGAGGACATGGACATAGGCAGGGGGCAGAGGGTGGACAGTGCTTCTGGGAGTGATTGTGCATGACCTGGGCTGGGCAGTGATGCTGGTGCCAAGGCCAAGGGTATGGACAGATGGTAGGGTCTGTCTGCCAAGTGAGGGTGTGAACTTTATCGGATGAGCAATCACTGTAGATCCAGGTGGGGGTAGTGGCTCCAGTATTAGGAACGGGCCCAGCCCCGGGTGGGTGACAGGTGACCCCAGTATTACAGATAGGCCCAAGTGGGTGAGAGTGGAAGAGTTGGTCATGCGGAGAGTTGCCAGGAGCCTGAGCTAGACTGAGGGGCCAGGTGCTCTGTGTGTGTGTGTGAGCGAAAGAGAGACAGACAGACAGAGAGGGCGAGGGGTGAGGTGCACTCAGACAGGACAGTCGCCCAGGGAAGAGGACAGCCTGCCTCCAGCCTGGGTGTCTGGGGGAGACAGCACTGAGGTGGAGGTTGCAGGCTTGGATGGGGCAGGAGCAGGCAGGGAATACCTGTAGTGCACGTCCTTTTAGGGAGTGGGCACCTAGTTCCTCCTGGGGGTGGGCACCACGGTCACAGATGGACAGATTGGTGAGGAGATGGCTGGAGGCAGGAGCCTCGGGAGCCTCCTCCCAGGAAGGACATGAGGAGTGTCCAGGGCTAAGGCTGCTTCTGTGCCAGAGCCCATGGGGAGGGGGCTGAATGTGGGGGGTACTGGGTCAGACATGAGGGACCTGCCTGAGCACCCAGGGGTCCCCTGATGGCCTGACCTGTTCAGCTCCAGCCTGAAGATTTCATGCATGCAGGGTGGAAGTGGAGGCTTTGTGTGACCCCAACCTGGTGGCACATCCAGGCTCCTACTTACTGGACAGCACATGGGCTGGGAGGCCCGGGTCACTGTGAAGCTGCTCCCTCCAGGCCTCTCAGACCCTTTGGAGATAATGCTCTGCCCCCTCACTGTCCAGGGAGGCGTGAGGCCTCAAGTCCTCAGGACACAGGTGACAAGAACACAAACTCAGGGACACATCTGCTTATTGGAACTTTAATGATGGCAGAACAGAGGGAGGGGTCTTCTTCCCCCAAATAACTATCCTCACCCCCTCTGCCCAGAGGCTCAGCAAAGGAATGCAGCCCACCCCCTGCCCCGGAGGGTGGCCCCCCGGGGGGAGAGGAGACTGCCCGGCTGGGAGCTGGGACGGGGAGTCGTGCACCCTCTTCTCTTGGCTCAAAATCTCTCATCCCAGGACCTGGCGTTGCCCCCAGTCCCTGGGTGGGCTGGCAGGCAGGACTCATGCAACAGTGAGGGGCGGGAGGTGGCACGGACACCCTGCCCGCCACCCCGGGGTGGGGAGCGGGAGGGCTATAAGAGGCCATGCATGGCCACGTGGTCCACACGGAGTGTCTGCAGTGTACATACGGGTCAGGGTGGCCTCTACCCCAGCCGCGTCCAGGGCCAGAGGGGGAGTTGCAGGTGGCACTGCCACCACAGGGCAGGGTGCCCGCCAGCCCCGGGTAGGGCCCGGCAAGCGATGATGCAGCCTACTCCTTTGCACGGCCAATGATGGCGAGAATGTAGAGGAAGATGTTGATGATGTCCGTGTACAGGTTCAGGGCGGCAAACACGTACTCCTCGGGGCTGAGGGACAGCTGCTTGTTGCCGAGGAGCAGCTGGGTATCCACCGCCAGGAACTGGGGGCAGCAAGGCCATGGTGAGGAGATGCTCCCCCCACTTCCTACCCACCTGCCCTCCCCCCCACACAGCGCCCCCACTCACACAGGTGAAGAGCAGAGCACCCAGTGAGGCGTACACGATCTCCAGGATGCGGTTCCGGATGAAGATGCAGAGGACGGCAAAGATGAGCAGCACGACCACGCTCACCAGCAGCACGCCCATGCACGAGGTGAAGTCATAGCGGGTCTGCAGACAGGGCGCGGGCTGGGGCCGAGCTCTGGGGGCCTGGGGGCCGAG